AAAGTATTGGAGTTTCAGCTTCAGTCCTTCCAAAGAATATTCAGGACTCATCTCCTTTAGGAAGGACTGGTTGGATCTCCTTGAAGTCCAAGGGACTCTCAAGAGTCTTCTCCAACATCACAGTTCAAAAGCATCAATTCTTCGGTGCTCAGCTTTCCTTATAGTCCAACTCTCACATCCACACATGACTACTGGAAAAACCACAGCTTTGACTAGACGGGCCTTTGTTGGCAAAGTAATGTCTCTGCTTTTTAATATGCTGTCTACGTTAGTCATAACTTTTCTTCCAAGGAGCAAGTGTCTTTTAATTTCATGGCTGCAGTTACCATCGGCAGTGATTTTGGAGCCCCCAAAAATAAAATCTGTCACTGTTTCAACTGTTTCCCCATCTATTTGCCATGAAGTGATGGGAACTGATGCCATGATCTTAGTTTTCTGAATGTTGAACTTTAAGCCAACTTTTTCACTCTCCTCTTTGACTTCTATCAAGATGCTCTAAAGAGCTTTCTTCTTTGCTTTCTGCCATAAGGGTGGTGTCATCTGCACATCTGAGGTTATTGATATTTCTCCCGGCAATCTTGATTCCAGTTTATGCTTCATCCAGCCCAGTGTTTCTCATGATGTACTCTGCATAGAAGTTAAATAAGCAGGGTGACAATATACAGCTTTGACGTACTCCTTTTCCTATTTGGAACCAGTCTGTTGTTCCATGTCCAGTTCTAACTGTTGCTTCCTGACCTGCATACAGATTTCTGAAGAGACAGTTTTCTTGCCCACAGTAGTAGATATAACGGTCATCTGAATCAAATTTGCCCATTCTGGTCCATTTTAGTGCACTGATTCCTGAAATGTTGATGTTCACTCTTGCCATCTCCTGTTTGACCACTTCCAATTTACCTTGATTCATGGACCTAACATTCCAGGTACCTATGCAATACTGCTCTTTATATCATTGGACTGTACTTCCATCACCAGTTACATCCACACCTGGGCTTTGTTTCCACTTTGGCTCAGGCTCTTCATTCTTTTTGGAATTATTTCTCCACTCTTCTCTAGTAGCATACTGGGCACCTACTGACGTGGGGAGGTCCTCTTTCAGTGTCATATTTTTTGCCTCTTAATACTGTTCATGGAGGAGCTTCCCTCATAGCTCAGTCAGTAATGAATCTGCCTGCAATGCAGGAGACCTGGGTTCGATTCCTGGGTGGGGAAGATTTCCTGGAGAAGGAAATGGCAACCCACTGCAGTATTCTTGCCTGGAGAGTCCCATGGTCAGAGGATCCTGGGGACTCGCAAGAGTCGGACGCAACTTAGCAACTAATTGACCACCACCACCACCACCACTGTTCATGGTATTCTCAAGGCAAGAATACTGAAGTGGTTTGGCATTCCCTTCTACAGTGGACCATGTTTTGTCAGAACTCTCCACTATGACCCATCCGTCTTGGGTGGCCCTACATGGCGTGGCTCACAGTTTTACTGAGTTAGACAAGGCTGTGATCCATAGGACCAGTGCTGTGTCTTCATTGTGACATGCAGGATATTTTAGTTGATGCATGTGGGATCTGGTTCTCTGACAAGGGATTGAACCTGGGCCCCTTGCATTGGGAGTTCAGAGTCTTAGCCACTGGACTGCCAGTGAAGTTCCTTCAGTCTTTTTCAAAATGCATATTTGTTCCTTCCCAAGATTAAGATCAAACAGCTTGTATTGTCTTTTTATTCCATTGATTTACACTTAGAAACAGAGGCTAACTATTTTCCAGTACCATTAAGTTACTTATCCAAACCACACTTTCTCATGTGTAGTATTCCAGACTATGGGTGGACCATGAATTATTATTTAAGCTCTCGTTAATGTTTCTAGTTTTGTATTTTGCTGTTATAAACAGTGGGCAGGGAGTATCTTTGCAGAAATCTGTGTTCACACTCATGGTTATTAGGACAAATTCCTAAAAATGAAATTGCTGATTCATGTAAACACCTATGGATTGAAAGGCATCAGAGCATCTCAAGACATGGACGGGAGAAAGGGATGTTTCCAGTTGCACTGTAAACATTTTGTATGACATTAAGTGAGGGGAAGAGTGGTACTGACTGGGATTTCCCTGCTAGTCGGGTGGCTAAGACGCTTCACTACCAATGCAGGGGGCCTGGCTTCGATCCCTCATCAGGGAACTAAGATCTCATATGCTTTGCAGCACAGTCAAATGGATAAATAGATAAATTTCATCATGTTCCTTTATCATATATTTTAAAACACATCATTTTAAAAAAATTGAAGTATAGTTAATTTACAATTTTATGTTAGTTTCAGGTGTATAGCATAGTGATTCAGTATTTCTGCAGATTATATTCTCTTACAGGTTATTATAGGATAATGGACACAATTCCTTGTGATATACAGTAGGTCCTTATTGCTTGTATATTTTATACATAACAGTTAACCCTATATCCTTAATTTATCCCTCCCCTCTTCCCTTCTTCTTTGGTAATCAGTGGGTTATTTTCTATGTCCTGTGTCTATGAGTCTGTTACTGTTTTGCATATACACTCATTTGTATTATATTTTAGATCCCACATATAAGTGACATTATATAGTATTTGTCTTTCTCTGACTTATCTAACTAAGCACAATATTCTCTAGGTCCATTCATGTTGCTGCAGATGGCATTATTTCATTCTTTTTTATGGCCAAGTAATATAATATTCATATATATATATATATATATGCCACTTCTTCTTAATCCATTTATCTATTGATGGGCACTTAGGTTGCTTCCATGTCTTGGCTATTGTAAATAGTGCTATGAATTTTGAGATTCATGTGTCTTTTTGAATTAGTATTTTCATTTTTTCTGGATATATACCTATGAGTGGAATTGCTGGATCATATGGTAGCTCTACTTTTAACTATTTATGGAACCTCCATAATCTTCTCTAAATTGGTGCAGCCAATTTACATTCCTACCAATGGTGTACAAATGTTCCCCTTTCTTCCCATCTTATCCAGGATCAGTTATTTGTAGACTTTTTCATGACAGCCATTCTGACAGGTGTGAGGTGACATCTCATTATGGTTTTGATTTGCATTTCTCTAATAACTAATGATGTTGAGCATCTTTTCACATCTGTATGTCTTCTTTGGAAAAAATGTCTATTCAAGTCTTCTGTGTATTTTTTAAGCATACCATTCTTAATGTCTACAATGTAAATCATTTGTTCTTTACTAAGTTTCAAGCCAATCAAAACTATAGTAATTTCTGAAGAAAATTTTGTTTTTATTTTTAAAGGGGCACTTCTTTGGTTGTTTTTTTTTTTGTTTGTTTGTTTGTTTTTTAGTTAGTTTTGTATTTTATCAGTGTGGGCAGTAACTCTCCTTTCAGGTGGAGAATAGTACACTGGATTATTTTCACCATCAGCTTATTCTCTGCTTTGTAAGCAGTGACATCCGTCCTCCCTGATTCTGATCCTCACCTCCAGGCCCTGTGAACGACCGTGGTTCTACAGGACCTTAGTGTCACTACAGACAGGAAAAACTCGAGGACTGAAGTCAGAGAGGTTCTGTCCAGGGTTTCAACAGAAATGTAGTTCTCTTCTCCAGAGTCCAAAGGGGAGGCTGCCAGCAGCCCTGTCATTGCAACAGGAGGATGAAAGGGCTGTCAGTCAGAAGGACATAACCTCCGGTGAGGGTTTTGAGAAAGGAAGGATCTTCAGACTAAAGGGGATGGATGGCAAGGAGTGCCTTGAAGGATTTGCTTAGTGCTTTATACCTGAGCCAAGTCACCTGAACAAGGAGAGACTATTCTTTTTTTTTAATTAAAAAAAAAAAAAGTTTTGGCAACAGCGCAGGACATGAGGGGATCTTAGTCCTCCTGCCAGTGATCGAACCCATGCCTTCTGCCGTGGGAGCGTGGAGCCCTAACCACTGGACTGCCAGGGAAGTCCCCGTGGAGAGACCACTCTTATGAGAGCCCTCAGTGATCTCAGTCGACCTGCCGAGGATGCACAAGGCTTCTGGTGCCCTCTGGAACCCAGCTCCTCTCCTTCGCTCCTCTCCCTTCTCCCAGCACTCCTGCTCTACTTCTATGGACAGCCCACCCTAACACTCCCACCTTCTTACATCAAGCCTAAGGACCATTTATGTTTTGCTGGTCCAAATTCCCCAAGATGGTGATGCTCCAACTCTGGTTTCTAGCTCCACCTTGACTAGTACTTAAGTGGGCCATCTTGGATCCCTTGTTCCATTGGCTTCATTGACTTCAAGTGTAAAATTAGGAATTGGATGATCTAACTTGTAAAGTTTCTTTTAACTTTCAAGGTGTTTCTACAAATCACTGCAGCGAAATGTGCTGTGCTTAGTTGGTCAGTTGTGTCTGACTCTTTGCAACCCCATGGATTATACAGCCCATGGAATTCTCCAGGCCAGAATACTGGAGTGGGTAGCCTTTCCCTTCTCTAGGGGATTTTCCCAACCCAGGTTTCCCACACTGCAGGCGAATTCTTTACCAGCTGAGCCACAAGGGAAGCCCAAGGAGTGGGTTGCCATTTCCTTCTCCAGGGGGTCTTCTCAACCCAGGTCTTCTGCATTGCAGGCAGATTCTTTACGGTCAGAGCCACAAGGAAAGCAGCAAAATAGGGACCACCCAAAACAAACAAGCATCTAAAGGAAAATTATAGGCTCCTGTGAAGTGAAGTGAAGTCGCTAAGTCGTGTCCGACTCTTTGCAACCCCGTGGACTGTAGCCCACCAGGCTCCTCCGTCCATGGGATTTTCCAGGCAAGAGTACTGGAGTGGGTTGCCATTTCCTTCTCCAGGGGATCTTCCCGACCCAGGGATCGAATCCAGATCTCCCGCATTGCAGGCAGAAGCTTTAACCCCTGAGCCACCAGGGAAGCCCCATAGGCACCTAGGAAACCTCAATATATCCTCATAAAGTTTCATTTGAGTTATGGTGAAATGACAATGGGGCCAATCCTTTCTCCAATTCCTTTTCTTGACAGAGGAAAAGCTCCTGTGATACAAGAAACTCATCTATATGTCAAAAAGTGGAGCTCACAGACCAATTGGTGAGTTTCAGGTTACTTTCAGATGTAAGGAGTCTGAGGGGCAATTTAAGTCTCAGATAGCAATTTGTTCAAGATATTTTAATGATTAATAAGCATACCAGGACAAACTTTTGGAAATGAGAATGGGCCTGAGATTTGGGGGACATTTAGCTATTAAATAGGCTCTAAATAGGCTCTTACTCTGAGGAAGAGAAGGAGGAGAAGAGGTAGAGGAAGAAGAGAAATAGGAAGAAGGCAGAGAAAGAGAAGAAGGGAAATTTTATTGTCTTATTCAAGGTAGATGAAGCTCATCCCCCTCCCTGGAAACACTGGCCTCTTCCTGGCCTCTTGATCTTACCTGCCCACCAAGACTAAATCATTTTTTAGAGAAGCAGACAGCAAAGGAATTCAAGTGCAGACTCCAAAGTCAGCCAGCTTGAGTCTGAGTCTCCTCCCACTACTTACCTGCAGGGACGGCTATTGGCAAATACGTAACCATTTCTAAGCCTTAGTTTCCTCATCTGTATAACGGGTTCCTATATTATAGGTCCTAGGTTTAAATGACAGAAAGCAAGTCATGCCCCTAGCAGAGTATCTAGTGCTCAACAGACACCAGCCATTGTTATACTGAATCTCCCTCGATTAGTCAAATTCTGTGGCAAGAGACACCGCCTCTCCCCCTAGACCTTAGTCTGCCACCAACCCCTCTGCCCATAGCACCCCCCCTTCTTTTTTTTAAAATAGGATTCACCATTCTGATCCCCTACAAGGAAATGTGCGGAGCAGCAGACAGAACGAAAGAGCAGCTTATGGAACCTAAAGAAACTCGTGGCAATCAGCGGCCCTGGTGCTTTCCACCTGGAAATCCTCCCTTTTCATCCTCGGTTGGTGGGCAGGGCCAAAGTGAACACAGCAGATGTAGTGGGGATCTCCCTTGGGGGTAAGGGGAGAATGGAGAACGTTCCAAGCCCAGCTCCACCACTGAGGAGCTCGGTACACGGTGGAGTTCAAGATGCATTTCCTTCTCCGTCTCCGAGCGATGCCCCAGAAACCGCAGGAGAAGACGCCCAGCCCCCAGTAACAACATTCACCTTTCTGCCTGTTTCTCCTCTCTGGCCTCTGGAGAATCGCCTGCCTGCTTCGCTCCTCGTTAGAGTTTATCAGGCGCTTCCCCGGGACCCAGATGGCCCAGCCACTTCTGAACCACCTGGGGAGGGAGTCTCACCAAAGCCTGCTTGGGGCCCCTTCCAGGTGCAAAGCCGGTAATGGGGCCAGCCTGGGGGCAGGCGGCGGCTGCGGGTCGGCAAGCAGGGCCTGGAGCCGCCTGATCCACGGAAACTTGGGGGTGGGGCGGCGACATCAAAGGCGCGGGGGGCCCAGAGCGCTGGGGTCGTGGCGCAGGGAGGGGCGGAGGGGCCAACGCCTCGCCGACCTGCAAGTTTCTGTTTCTTTCAGGGTAAGAGAATGAGGATGACGATCGCCTTCCTCTTCGTGGAGAGCGGCGGTCTTTGCACACTCCGAGCTGGGAGGAGGCTGCTGGGCTTCCGGGGAGGGGGCGGTAGCAGGGGTCTGCCGCCCGCACGTTGCAGCTTGGCACCCACTCCCAATGGCTCAAAATTCTCCAAACAGCAGAAAGGGCTTGAAAAGAGAGAAATAATGACAACGGAGTGACAGCCGTGATTTCAGGAGGCAGATCTTCGCAGAGATGCCGGCACTGATTCTTCTCTGTGGTGACCTAGGCGTAGAGGCTTCCCGGGGGTGGCGCGAGGCTCCGGGGAGGGTGGAGGTTCTCAGCCCCCAGACCAGGGCCCCGGGGCTGGACAGACGATTGGACATTCGCCCTTGGCAAGGTCGGAGGCCCTCCAGGCCTCAGCAGGCGGGGTGCGGCTGGTCCCCCTGGGGAGACCCTTGACCTCTTCTTGGGTGCCTCGCTTCTCCTGAGAGTGGGCTGGAGAGTGGAGGGGATGGGCATTGGAAGAGGCAACTTGGGGGTGCTGAGGCAGATTGTGGGGGAGGAGGCTGGAGACACTTCTGCAGACGACCTCCTGGAAAACGGGCCATTGTGAAAAGCATCCTCTGGGAACTTGTTAAATAGGTAAATCATCTGAATCAGGTTGACCCTGGCAATCAATTGACTCAGCAATGGGCAGGCCCGCCCCCAAGTGATTCTGTTGCTGGCTCAAATTCAAGAACCCCTGGTGCAAAGGAAGGGCGCTGACCTCTGGGCTGGGAAACTGGAACTCTCAGTTCTCCCATCAGTAAAGGAAGGGTGGGGCCAGGTCAGGGGACGCTGGTGGATGGAGTCAGGCAGGTTACACAGGGTGAGAGGGGCCAGGTAGATAATGTCACACCCCAAAGGGCCTGTGCCCTGTGCCAGCCAGATGTCACCTGGCCTAAACTGGGGACAGATTTTTGCTATATTTTCTGGTTTTGCAAGAGAAGCTGGAAAGCTAGGTTTTTAAAATGTGAAATCTCCTGTTTTTTAAGTGTTGGGAAGTAGTTAGACATTTCAAAAACATTGAGTCTTCACTACAGGGCAAGCACAACACATCTACCACCTGGATTTGCCCTGTGGGTTCCAGTTTATTCTTTAAACTCCAAGATCTCATCTTACCTTGAAATAGTCTGTGAGATTGACAGAAATGTGGCCAAAGCCCTGGGACATAAGAGTAGGGCTTTCTGAACTTCTAAGAAAATATTATTAGGAGAGACAATTTTTTGAACACCTGGTAGTCACACAAAAATATCATTGTTCCATTAACTCCCTCCTTGCTCTTCTCTATCATCCTCTTAATCAGGGTACCTCATTGTTCTCATGATAATTAGACCTAAAAAATGCTGACCCACAGAAACGGTAAGTAACTTGCTCAAAGCCATCTGCCAGAGTCAGACAACATCCTCATCAAGACCCGCTCTAAAAATCACCTAGCATTTACCAAGTGTTTTGCCTCCATGCCAGATATTGTTCTAAGTACTTTACAGATATTAACTCTTTTACTTCTACAACAACCCTGTGAAATGAGGATTGCTTTCATCTCCCATTGTACAGATGAGGAAACTGAAGCCCAGAGAGGTTAAATGACTTGCCCAAGGTCACCCAGTTTGTAGGCTGGTAGGTGGCAAAGCTGGGATTTGAACATAGGTGGCCCGGCTGACTCCAGAGCCCACCACGTTTTACTGCCTTCCGTGCTCTCAATGATAGGCTCCTCCTATCCCACCAGGATGAGGTCCCTAGGAATGTAGCAACTCAGATGGGCATAAAAGAGGGGCAGTTGAGCCTCTTTGCAGGGCAGGAATAGAGACACAGATGTAGAGAATGAATGCGTGGAAACAGTGAGTGAAGGAGAGGATGGGACAAATTGGGAGAGTAGCCTTGACATATATATACAACTATGTGTAAAATAGCTAGCTAGCAGGAAGCTGTGGTATAACACAGGGAGCTCAGTTCAGTGCGCTGTGATGACCTAGAGGGGTGGGATGGGGAGTGGGGTGAAAGAGGAACTCAAGAGAAATGGGATATATGTATACACATAGCTAATTCACTTCACTGTACAGAAGAAACTAACATAACATTATAAAGCAATTATACTCCAAGAAAAAAACCTAATCCAATATGAAAAGAAAAAAAGGGTCTGTGCTGATGGAACCCAGCAAGCCAAGCGCATGCAGAGCCCTGACCCAGCAGGTCAGCCCTCTGTAACATCCCCCCTAATGTAGCCAGTCGGGCTTAAGGTGTCAGGGAATTTGACAGTTTTAACAAAGGAGGTGTCATCTGGAAAGATGAAAGAGCAGAGCTATTTATTTGAGGATTAGAGCCTTAAGAAGTGTCTGTGACTCTGCAGGCTGCATTTCTGCATCTCATCCTTCTTGTTCCTGACAGTGTTCTCAGGGCTTTGGTGGTAAGAATGTCCCATAATCTAGTTTAATGTCCCATGGCATTCTAGGCAGAGGAGCTATTTCCCTACCCCACAGCACTTGCTCTGAAGTTGTCCAGATGGAAAGAGCACTGAAAAAGGAGTTAGGAGGTCTGGGTCCTAAGCCCTCGCCTTATAAATAGTTGATTGTGAGACCTGCGGAAATGACTTTTACCTTCCTGGGTTCCGGCTGCTCCTTCCCTGGTGTAACTCTCACCACGTGTAGCTAAAGTGGAAATTCCTTTTCTCACCTGTGCTCGCTACGTGTCTTCTGCTCAGCAGCCATGTGTAGCAGGTGACTGTCATAATGGATGGTGCACAGACATCTCTCTTATTGTAGCAAGTTCTGTAAGGAGGTGCTGCTGGTGCTTGAATTAGCTAATCCTAAAGCCCTTTGAGGGGCTTCCCAGGTCGCTCAGTGGTAAAGAATCCACCTGCCAATGCAGGAGACAAGGGTTTGATCCTTGGCTCGGGAAGATCCCTGGAGGAGGGAACGGCTACCCACTCTGGTATTCTTACCTGGGAAATCCCATGGACATAGGAATCTGGTGGGCTCCAGTACATGGGATTGCCAAGAGTCGGACATGACTGGGCAACTGAGCACACACACTCAAAACTCTTTGAGCACTTAATTCTTATGTTTTGTTTGTTTCTGATACATGAGCAGTCACTATTCATAGCTGTGAGATGTTCTCTAGGGTTGGTTCATCTTTGCCAGTAAGGTGGGTACAGTGAGCTTTTAGCTGGTAATTTCACCTTGTGGCCAAGAGCGACTAAAAGAGAGACATCCAGTCAGAATTAGCAATGCAGCTTTAGACCATGAATGTTCCTGCTCTTTGATTCCTATTGGCCCATAAAAGAAGAGAACATTGGATCTGTTTATTTAAGCGTAAAGGTAAGAATGATACGAACAGCACTATTCGACAACAGTTAAGATATGAAAACAACCTAAATGTCCATCAGTAGATGAATGGATAAAGATAAATGTGTATATATATATATATATATAAAGGTCAGTTTTCATTCCAATCCCAAAGAAAGGCAATCCTAAAGAATGCTCAAACTACTGCACAATTGCACTCATCTCACACACTAGTAAAGTAATGCTCAAAATTCTTCAAGCCAGGCTTCAGCAATACATGAACTATGAACTTCCAGATGTTCAAGCTGGTTTTAGAAAAGGCAGAGGAACCAGAGATCAAATTGCCAACATCCGCTGGATCATCGAAAAAGCAAGAGAGTTCCAGAAAAACATCTATTTCTGCTTTATTGACTATGCCAAAGCCTTTGACTGTGTGGATCACAATAAACTGTGGAAAATTCTGAAAGAGATGGGAATACCAGACCACCTGACCTGCCTCTTGAGAAACCTGTATGCAGGTCAGGAAGCAACAATTAGAACTGGACATGGAACAACAGACTGGTTCCAAACAGGAAAAGGAGTACGTCAAGGCTGTATATTGTCACCCTGCTTATTTAACATCTATGCAGAGTACATCATGAGAAACGCTGGGCTGGAGGAAGTACAAGCTGGAATCAAGATTGCCGGGAGAAATATCAATAACCTCAGCTGTGCAGATGACACCACCCTTATGACAGGAAGTGAAGAAGAACTAAAGAGCCTCTTGATGAAAGTGAAAGGGGAGAGTGAAAAAGTTGGCTTAAAGCTCAACATTCAGAAAACTAAGACCATGGCATCCGGTCCCATCACTTCATTGTAAATAGATGGGGAAATAGTGGAAATAGTGGCTGACTTTATTTCTCTGGGCTCCAAAATCACTGTAGATGGTGACTGCAGCCATAAAATTAAAAGACACTTACTCCTTGGAAGGAAAGTTACGACCAACCTAGACAGCATATTAAAAAGCAGAGACATTACTTTGTCAACAAAGGTCCGTTTAGTCAAGGCTATGGTTTTTCCAGTGGTCATGTACGGATGTGAGAGTTGGACTACAAAGAAATCTGAGTGCCAAAGAATTGATGCTTTTGAACTGTGGTGTTGTAGAAGACTCTTGTGAGTCCCTTGAACTGCAAGGAGATCCAACCAGTCCATCCTGAAGGAGATCAGTCCTGGGTATTCATTGGAAGGACTGATGCTGAAACTGAAACTCCAATACTTTGGCCACCTGATGTGAAGAGCTGACTTATTGGAAAAGACCCTGATGCTGGGAAAGATTGAGGGCAGGAGGAGAAGGGGATGACAGAGTATGAGATGGTTGGATAGCATCACTGACTCAATGGACATGGGTTTGGGTGGACTGCGGGAGTTGGTGATGGACAGGAAGGCCTGGCATGCTGCAGTTCTAAGGGTTGCAAAGAGTTGGACACGACTGAGCGACTGAACTGACTGATGACTGTATAAGCATGTGGCGTGTGGTGTGTATGTGGTGTGTGTGAGCATGTGGGGTGTATGTGTGTATGCTATGTGTGTAGTATGATGGTGTGCCTATGGTGTGTGGGGGGTGTGCATGCACAGGCACAGTTTAATGAGTAGGAGTGTGGAAAAGGCATCTCTGCTTACCTTTGTTGTCGGTTGGAACACACAACTTGTGAAATAAACCTTTCACCAGCAAGCTCACTAAAACAAACTTGGAGGGTTCATGGTAATGTAAATGGGGGACAAGCCCAGACTATCCAGTGGTAAGGTACTCTTGAT